AGTAGGACTGTGAGCCAGCGAGGTTTTCAGGCAGCCGAGGCCTGGGCTTGAGGGAATCTGAGACAGACCAGAGGGCTGAGGAGACCAGACCTGAAGGGAAGAAGTCATCTATAGACTTGGTAACCACCTTCTGTGTTTGCCAAGCAGGAACTCTGTGAGGCTAGCACAGGACCTGTTTGTGTAGGTTTGTGAATGAGAGGCTCGCTAAGAGGAATGTTGTCAGGGTTCCCTCCCCACTCTGAACTTTAGGGTACAGACCCGCATGAAGATCCCCTAAGCTTATTTCTACCAGCTTAGGTTAAAAACTCCCCTATTCCTGCCCCCACCAAGTGATTTAAACAAACATTTAGGGAGGGCCACTTGGAGCCCTACCTTCCCCAAATATCCCCCCAAGCCCATATACCCCATTTCCTGGGCAGGCTTGAGAATAATCCCCCAAACCCCTACACCCCCTTTCTTGGTGGAGGCTTGAGAATAATATCCTCACCAATTGGTACAGGTGAACACAGACCCAAACCCTTGGATCTTAAGAACTTTAAGAATCTTAAAAGAGGAATTTTAATTAAAGAAAAGGTAAAAGAATCACCTCTGTAAAATCAGGATGGTATGTACTTTACAGAATAACAAAAGACTCAAGAACATAGAGGATCTCCCCTCTAGGCAAAACCTTAAAGTTACAAAACCAGGGATAAACCTCCCTCTAGACAAGGAAAATCACAAGCCAAAATAAAAGTAAGCTAACACATTTCCTTATTATTACTTACTAATTCTAACTGAATTGGATTGCTTGCCTTCTTGATCTGTCTCCGGCAAGCACACAGAACAGACAGACAAAGAACAGACAAAAGAAAGCCTTTTCCCCCTCCCCAGATTTGAAAGTATCTTGTCCCCTTATTGGTCCTTTGGGTCAGATGCCAACCAGGTTATCTGAGCTTCTTAACCCTTTACAGGTAAAAGGATTTTGTGCCTCTGGCCAGGAGGGATTTTATAGTACTGTACACAGGAGGGCTGTTACCCTTCCCTTTATAGATATGACAAATGTATATTTCTTAATGTATAGTTCCTTAATGTCTAACATAGGAGTTAGGTGCTTCATGTAACCATTTACTGCTTGTGTAATTCCTTCTCAAATAAACTGCAGTGTATGCAAGTTAATTACTGTGGATTTTTTCACTGGTATGCTAGTAATCTGCTCCAGTGGGAGCCATTAAAGATCCATTAAGGGGTAGTAGCTCCCTGGTGCCAACACTTCGTACATGATTTATTGCAATTGTATAACAGTGATTCAGTCATGCAGCCTCACACCATGTTCTCATCCCATGATGGTGACAGCTGCTAGCCACCTAATGAAGGGACATTTCTCAAGTTCTAGCGGGGCAAGCTGCTGGGACACTAGAGCCACAAGAGGATGGGAAGAGCAGATAAAAACTTGTTTTCCTGAAGGGAGCCTGCTCCTTCTACAAATAAAAGAGGAAAGAATTCTTTAAAAGTGAGAGGTGGACGTCCATGAACCTGGCTGATTCCTCCAAGCGTCGCCAACCAGCCCTCTTGGCTTTCAACAACCTTAACTTGTGTTTGACTAAAGCATCTTCCAGAGAAGCATCCAGGTCTATGTTGCCGGCACAGGGGCCCGAGGACAGCAACAGTGGGGTTCGGTGCCCGGAGTGCTTCGCGCCAATAAACAGACCGGGGTGGAGAAACAATCAAAATTTATTTGAGATCTCAAAGTGATGCAAGGAGACAGGCAAGTCTCAAATCAAGCACACCAGCAAAAACAGTTTCTCTCTTCTTTATACATTTTACAACTAAGCCCCCCCCCTCTCCCCCTCTCTACCACCCCTCCTCTACTCCCCCTCCCCTCTCTACCGAAGGCATGTTTATACATTTAAGCTGTTAAATCATTCTAGGGCTATAAATCTAACCTGTTAGTAACTTCTCCCTAAACAGTTATTTGGTCCTGTTTACCCTTAGTTTATTACCTCTTCCCCAGCTAGAAACATGCAAACCTCATCATTATCGTTTGGTACCTGCTTTGAGCAAGGTCGTAATTGCTAACTGGCTGTTTACACATTCCAATTCCTGTCCTTGGCTTTTGAGGCCGATTAGAGTTAAACATGGAAGGACAGAGTTTAAACATGGAAGAACTCTGGCTCAGGCAGGCCTAGTGACCCCAACAGCTAGATCCCAATTTTGGCACCACTGCCTTTCTCAAACCCCAGCTCATCGACTACTTAACCCTGTAGTGGCCTGTGGTTCCACCAGTAGCCTGCACAAAGCAACCGGAGCGCTGATGCTGCTCCACAACTAACAAGCTCCTCAGAGTCTTAGCTTAGGCCTCAAATCTGGTTGGATTCTCCCATGAATTGTTCCCTGCGCTTCCCCACAGCAGGCCTGATGTGTTAGGCATTCTCAGACCACGCCTTCTGGATGGGGCCTTGCAGGTCAGGAATGTGTGTGTTTGCACATGCCTCCATATGTGTGTGCATGTGAGTGTGTGAGTGTATGCACACGGGACTGTATGTGTGTTTGCATGTGTTTCCGTGTTTGTGCCCCTCCAGAATATCCCATAGCCCAGCGGTTTAGCGCCCTCACTTGGAATGTGGGAGACCCAGATTCAAATCCCTGCTCCACTGAAACTTTATTGGTACAAAGTGGAAGAGCTCCAGCCAGCCAGACTCAGTGCCCCATCCAGAATAAGCATTTGTCTGGAGTCCAGGGCACTCATTGCCCAGGGGCTGAAGCTGACTCTAACAGACGCGCTGAATGGCACTTTTCATCATTCCATCGGGAAGCGATTTAGCCAGGCTGCTGAGCTGCGTTATCCCCATGTCATTAATCAACTGAGCCACACAATGATCCGGTAGCTGAGCACTAGGGCCCACAAGCTGCATGACGCACAATCGCACCCACCTGCCACACAACCCTGCTCCCAACCCTCAGCTGCTTTTATTGGTTTCCTGGCTTCCCTCTCTGCTGATGGTTGGCCTGTCCGCCCCAGTGCTGTGTCCTCGCTGTACTCACTGCAGGCTCCTTGTCAGGCTGCAGCAGCTCTCGTCCCACTCCCGGAGCAGAGGGAGCCCAGCTGGGAGGGGAGGGATGTAGATATGATCCACGAACTGATGGGGGAGGAGAGGAGGGAGCAACAGGGGAGGGCCCCAGGGGAATAGGCAGGGAGGGGGCAGGACCTTGAGGGAAGAAGCAAGGCACAGGGCAGGACCTCAGGGATCCAGTTACCGGCCATTAAAAAAGTGGCAACTCTATGTTTACTGAGTTACACAGAGACCAATTCCCCAATTTGTCAAACTGACACAGCACAGTGGGGCCAGGAAAGGGTTTCAAGTCTCTTTGACTATCCAGTCAGGGATCCGGGGGAGAGGGCCCAGCACCATCTCACCAGCCAGCTCTGCACAGAGCTCAGTCTGAGAGCCAGAAAAAATGTTAGCCCCATTTATAAGTAAATAGCCGGAGCAGCCTGTCCCGGATCTGTTTGGTCCTCACCCCATAGATGATGGGGTTTAGCGTGGGGGGCAGCAGGAGGTACACATTGGCAATGAGAATATGGAAAGGCAGGGGCACCGTGTGGCCAAACCGGTACATGAGGGAGGAGAAGAGAGCTGGGATGTAAAAGGATAAGATGGCACAGAGGTGGGAGCTGCAGGTCCCAAAAGTCTTGAGCCGGGCGTCCTTTGTGGAGAGGTTGAAGATGGCCCTGAGGATCTGGATATAGGACACGACAATAAAAATCACATCCAGACCCATCACACAGAATAGCACAAAGAGTCCATAGTAACTACTGATGCGGATGTCGGCACAGGCCAGCTTCACCACGGCTATGTGCTCGCAGTACGCGTGGGGGATGATGTTGGTTCTGCAATATGGCCACTGCCTCGCCAGGAGGACGAGGGGTAGCATGACCATGCAGCCGCGCAGCATCACAGCCAGGCCGATCTTGGCCACAACTGGGTTTCTCAGGATGGTGGAATGTCTCAGGGGTTTGCAGATGGCCACATAGCGATCCAAAGCCATGGCCACGAAGATCCCAGACTCCATCACGAAAAAGCAGTGAACGAAGTACATCTGGGTGAGGCAGGCACCAAAATCGATCTCCCTGGTATTGAACCAGAAGATGCTCAGCATTTTGGGCAGGATAGAAGTGGACAGGACCAGGTCAGTGATGGCCAGCATGCAGAGGAAATAGTACATGGGTCTATGGAGGCTCGGTTCCCTTTTCACAATGAACAGGATAGTGAAGTTCCCCAAGACGGCTATGGCAGACATGGTGCAGAAGGGGATGGAGATCCAGATATGGGCCACCTCCAGGCCAGGAATGCCCATCAGGATGAAAGTGGAGGGGTTGGTGAATTTGGTTGTGTTGGAATCTGACATGGAGTAGGGGAGAAGGTGTCCAACTCTGAGGCAGAACGGTGTCTACTGCATGTACCATATGTTCTCCTGACTTCCTGTACATGCCCAGGGTCTAGGGTGATGGTCGCAGTACAAATGCCTGGATGGAGAGACAATGTTAATATGAGAAATGACATGCACTACCGGTGGCTGTTCTCATGGGTGAAGCAGATTGGTCGCTCTTCACACACTAAAAAATGACATTCTCATTATTCAGATAAATGTATTATGAAATCTGACCCTACCAATTCCAATTCCATATTTGATGGTGCTTCATGCGTAAATAGTTCCTACACATCATGGTGTGGGATACCTTAATAGGCACCAGCAGGGAACACGAGTGTGAATACTGGTTAGTCACCATTGTTCCTTAATGCAATGAAAGCCAGGCTAGAGAGTCCATGCTGTAGGAAGTTCCCCATTCACCCAGTTGCTCAAAATTTGAGTAAGAAAAAAAAAAAAAAAAAAAAAAAAAACTTCGCCAAGACATGT